GCAAGCTCTCTCTCTCTCTCTCTCTCTCTCTCTCTCTCTCTCTCTCTCTCTCTCTCTCTTTTTGTAAATCTTTTTCTAAACTGCATCGATACAATCTTCCACCTCTATCCGTGATCATTTGTAACCTAATGTATGATTATGGCTCTGTTTGCATTAGGACTCTAATAAAAGCTATTTATAAATCAGATGGCATCCAAGGAAGCTAAAAACATTGATGCTCTGTGGCACAGAGTACACAGGAACTTCTCTCCAGCAGTCAATTAGCAGTGACTGTATCGCTTAATGTGCTATTAATCCAAACAGTCAGGAAGCATTTGAGATTATTCTCAAACTGAACTGATTATTGTAGTATCAGTGAGTAAAGGCAGACCCGGTGCTTCTTCTTTAGCGAAGAGGGCCTTTCTGTTCTGCATCACTCTCGTAACCTCGCAGGCTGGATCACCACAGGTAACTGCAGTTATAGCTGAAGTACAAGTGTCATGAGTAATTACGGTCATATTCCGTCACTATCAAGGCTTCATGGGAGACTGTGTATATGCATGACACCAGGCTCAGCTAGACCATTCATCAGCGACAGGGAAAATTTAATTTTTGAATTCATATATACGTCATAGTTTCTTGTAGACTGATGATGTGACAAGTGCTCAGCCAAAATTCAGCTCTCTGAAGGTCAACAGAAGAAAAGAAGAGTCTCACTTTGCTCCAGAAGTAACCCTGTCCACTGTGCTTGACAAAAGCACATTATTCTGTCCTCACTTCACAGCAAATAGACCACACTCTCTCCAGTCCTACCCTCTGACCTCAATAAGGCAGCGGAGAGCAACAAAGACAATATAGCCAAACAACACTACTCTCAATAGGATAATTATCTGCATCTGCTTAAATTTCACCTTAATATGAGCCACACAATCCTTACATGCTTCCTGGGCTAATTCCAAATGTTTAAAAAGTATAGACTGATGCTGATGCACTGAAAAACCTGGCTGTGTGCTGCAGTCTAGCGATCAACAGGTACTGCTTTCTCAGCACTGTGGTGGTTCAAAGCAAAAAGGGAGTTTAAAACCTGCCAGTTTCATATGTAAAGCTTCATTGGGTCAAACAAAGACAACATCCTATTCTTGCACAAATGTTATGCAGGCTTCCGTCCAACAGGTCCACTGGTTGCATAAGCTGAAAACAAAGCATCTTTTTCAATCCCAGATTTTTTTTCTTCCAAGCAAGCAGATTTATACTGTGACGTGTGTGTGTGTGTGTGTGTGTGTGTGTGTGTGTGTGTGTTACACCTCACTGCATTTAAACTGTTTCCATTAAATTATAGCAGCCCTTTTAGATTAATTTAATAAATAACAGTCTCTTTTTCCCGTGTGTTTTCGGCCCTTTTTTTGCAAAAAGTTACACCGAGTTTGCTGTGAGAAAATGCTTGTTTTACATTGCGAAAAGCAGAGTGCATGTGCGCTTGTTATAACCAGCTGCTTTCACATTAAATAGTGGAAAAGGTGGAAAGAGGTGGGAGGCTGTAAGTGCTTCAGCCAGAAACTTGTAGTAGCAGTAGTAGCAGTAGTGATGGAAAGTGGATTTTGTTCAACAAGCTATTTTTAAAGCTTTGGCAGGTTTTTTTTCACCCATTTTCTCAGTTGTCGCCTCTCCTGCAAAGCTTACAATAATACAAATCAGCTACTTTGACAAAATTAGCTTTTTCAGGAGGCAATTGCTTCGTTATTTTCCTAAAGCTGATCATAAAATACTACTGAAGCCAAGTGATGTCAAGAGAAGTGAGACACAAAAAGGGCTGGAGATCTCACGAGAGAATAAATTAGAAATTTCTGCAAAATTATTACAGTAGAAGCACCTTCACTGACTTGTGTCAACACTAGCAGAGTTGTGTCAACTGTGGTCTGAGGACCAGTTTGTCCTCAGACCACCATCTGAAGCAGCAAATGCTGAGTAGACAACAAAGTGGAAACAAATCAAAGTATTTTAGTGCAACTTGAACCTAAGATAATGAAAGCTTTGATCTAATTCTCATCGCTTTCTCTGTATAAGGGCCGTGTTCCCATCCAGGGAAGTCCAGAAAAAGTTAAGTGGATGAAATCATTGTAAGGAGTAAACTCCTCCAGCTGGCCTGCAGTTTTAGCTGAGCAGGCATTTCCCAAATTAAAGGAAGGGAAGGGACAACAATAAAGGAAACCCCATAAATGTACACAAACTCCAGCTGCTAATTCAAGATCCTTTTTAAAGACAATTTTCATTATTAAAAGCGACCTTTTAAGGCTATTTTAAACCACAGTAAAGCGCTCAAGTGACCAAAAAACTACATATTATTACAGATTTTTTTCAGCTTGGTAGTTTTGGAGGCATAAGTTGGCCCTGGGGCTCTCCAGAGGAGCTTTAATGAAGCCCTCAAAATGAAACAATAAAAGGAGTTTGGGTTAATCTTTCCCCTCCGGTTCAGCAATCGGTTTCCTCGGATAAAGTGACAACATGGAGAGCACCACACCAACAAACCTTTGAAAATAAAAAAATAACATAAAAATAAAAAATACTTACACAAAACTTAGATGACGATTCGAAAAAGCACCGTCAAACGCGTTGAAGCAACAAGTCTCGCCACAGTGTTTTCTTCTTCGAGGTGGTCCGAAAATGCTCCGGTGAAATCTCCAACAACTCCCGGCTGAGCCAACTACGGAGAGGAAAACAGCAACGTTTTCAACCGTCATCTTGTCCAAAAACTGTTATTCGTGCAGTGTGTTTTTAGTTCATCCCGAATCCCACTGCGAGTTTCTGACAATCTGACACGGGGGCAAACGGCTTCCGAGGCTTTTATAGGGGCGTATGACCAGGCTTCTTTTCAAAAAATGTGAAAAATGTCAAAGATTTTCGCTGCTGTGTCAAAGCCATAGGCTACAACAGTGAGTGTTCAAAGTGAGCACCCTGTTGCAACAGCGGCCATCTATCTCCGCGAAGGAAACAAACGACCTAACGTTACTTCACGCTGTGGGATAAATATTAAACAACTAAATAAAGCCAACATTTTTAATACACTGTGCAGCATTTCCAAAAAAAGAGAAAGAAATACGTAAACTAACCCACCCCCCTCCTCCCCAAATGAACTGAAGTCTACAACCCACTTTGAATGCCTGTAACTACCATTGAAACTTACCTCGTAATTGATATCTCATATAAAATTGCCCCTTTCTTTTGGTAATGTAATGTTACTGGGTATTTTGAATACTATGTCAAGTTATTCTGATGTTTCTGGGCCAGCCAGGAAGGTGTAGGTGAATCGCTTCGCGCACTGACAGAGATGCGAAGAATGCTCGGAATGAGAAGAGGAATGAAATGAACGCAGGGAGCGAGTTTGCGCCGGGGCGGAGCGAGAGGTGGCGTCATCCCGAGCCCAGCAGCCAGCCTGGGCAGCAGGCAGCAGCAGCGGGGACAGGGAGGGCACTGAACATCCCAGCAGAGGGGAGCTGACGCCTTCAGGGACGCGAGGAAAATCCGATTTCACAGTTTCGCAACCCACTGGTCACACAGTTTCAGACCTCAGGCATGTCATGCTTAAGCCTAAATGATTTTCAACAGGTAATCTTAAAAGGCAAAAATGGTTTGCGGCTGTATAGTCTTTACAGTGCTGTGCAAAAGTCTTGAGCCACCTGTCATTTCTTCATTTCTCCCAAGGAGCCAGACTTTCTTGTAATTTTTAATGTGGTATTGCGCAATAACTCTTCAGGCTTTCTGGAGGTTTTGTGCAGTCTTTCTTTGGGATTTTCAGTTTCAGTCTAGTAGTTGTACCTGGCCATTTTCAGAGGAATGTTTATTTGTAAGCCACCTAATACAATTTCATACTCGAATAGTAAATCATTTGAGTATGAAAAAGGCGACTAATTCAAGGGAGATTCAGGGTTGTGTCTACACATAACAGACAGCTTAGAAATAGAAAAATAAATCCAGCAAAGACCTGACACAAGACCCAAGAGATACATCTTGCCCTTTAGTTTTCCAAAGCCTCATCAAGAAGGTCTCAATCGAAGTGTGGCTGTCAAGAAGCCAATTTCTGAGGAAGAGAAATGAGGAGAAAAGGCTGAGGTATGCCAAATTACACAAGAACTGGCCCGAAAGTCAGGGGCCACAGGCCTCATGGAGTGATGAATCCACATTTGAAATGTTTGGTTCAAATCTGAGGAAGTCAGAAGAGAGGTATACAAGTGAGTGGCTATACAGCCATCTGTAACACACAGCAGAGGAGAATGTCCTTCAAGGAGATTGGAGAACTATGACTGACGACTACTTAAAGAAATTACAAGAACGCTTGCCTAAGAGGGTTCACGCTGTGTTGAAGATAAAGGTGGTCATACCAAATATTTACTTTCAAGTAAACAGTACAAACTCTTTTCTTGACCTACATATTTCCATGTGTGTTTCCATACATATGTTAATAAAAGGCAGTAAAAGGCTAGCAACACATAAAGAAACGAGGGATTTCACTATCTAATCAGTTTCTGTGATATTGTGACATATCATACACAGAACCAAAACAAAAAGTTAAAGTCAGCTTTATTGTTATTTCTGCCATATGTACAGGACATATACAGAAAAACATTGTTCACCCGGCCCATGGTATGCAAACAAAGACAAGCATTAACAATAAATAAAAGAAAGAAAAAAATTATCTATACAAGAATTATGTATATTGCCGCAGTCTGTGTACATTACAGTGCCTTTCAGTGAAACAGTAGACAGTGAAAGGATTCAGTGGTTTAGTTATAATGCAGGGGACATTCAGCTGCCACTGACACAGACACTGCAAACAATTAGAAAGCTGTTCTGTGTGGATACATTTATCCTTTAATAAAGAAAATCTTTCCTGATGGGGTATCATCTCTTTTCCATCTAGGCCCCACAATGGGTCACTGTCAGCTGCGGATCTAGAAAATTTTACGTGTGTGTGTGTTTGGGGGGGGGGGGGGGGGGGGGGGGGGGGCTGAGGCAAGAGGGCCCACATGTAGATCCACCCCTCGTCACTGTATAATTTAAGCTTGAAATTTATACAATCGCTCCCACACCTTAATTTGACTCTTCATATAGATTTTTTATTAATTTATCAAGCACCTGTGTTGGAAATGTGATGAATGATATCAACAAATTTATTTCAAATATAAACAGTCAGTGCAAAATGCCTAATAACACACGTGGAAATTACCACTGACACTTTCCGACATGCAATGATTGACAATTCAGCATCAACCATGTGGTGTGTCTGTTCAACAGCAATATAGAAACATGGGGCGGGAGGCATATATTATTACCCAGAATGAAAATCCTAGTGCTTTTGGATCATGGTGGAAAAATAAGTAAATGAATAAAAATGCAATATAAGGAAACATGTTAAATAAACTGCAATTTCATATAATAAAATATAAAATTCTTATATGCACTTGCACGTAGTACCTTTATGTGGCTGTTTTAAATAGTAACACACCACTGCTGCGTCTCCCTTAGATTTCCATGATTCTCTCAAGCACCATTTCTGCAATATTAGAAAATAACTACAACAGAGCCACCGCTGTGTGACAAATAGTGGGCATTTACCTTTACCTAAATGCTTTTCTAACAAGGGACATTTATGGTTGCTACACAGACACCACTGTTTTATGTCGTTCCAGCTCACATACAGTATATAGTGATCCTTGATCCTTGCACTTAGACGTTATTGCCTGCCTCCAAATCAGCCATTGCTAATTCTTTGAAATGCATTTTTTTGTTTATTTCCCCCTCCCTTAATATCCTGTCTCTTGGATTATTGGACATTGTTACACCTTTATGTTATCTGTACTGTTTAAGAGGAGCTATTCAGAGGTTATTAACACCATTCACAGTATAATACAATCTAAAAACATTAGACTTATTTTCAGACAACAGCTGTTATCAATATACAAATCCAGTGTGTTTGCTACAAACCACCACTTCAGCTAAGATTTATGCATTTCAAGACATGTTGTATGCTCAAACTATAGGCACATTTTTTGAAGGTGGAGTCGGCCAGATTTACAAGCGACTGCAAACAGTTATAGACAGAAAACAAGGTGAGAGACACCAGCACAGACATGTCTGAACAAGTCATCCATTAGGAGCTAGTGTTCTGACACCAGTCCTTCAAAAGAAAGGGATCTATGAAGATGAATGACTGCTGCTCTGAGGACATCCATCAACACCTTTTAACATCTGTCTGTGCACGTTTAGCAGAGAGAGAGATACAGTGAGGTGAATGATTTGAAAGGGGGCTTTATACCTTGTCATTTTTCTATGCTTTTTTTTTCTTTTTACAGCTGGCCTTTGTATTTCATAATCTGTTGCACTTCACGCATCACACTTGGAATAGCTTAGCTTTAGCCACATTCAAAGCAGTTGATATTAAATCAGCCACAACAAGGACCTCTGGAAATTATGAATCATCAAAAGACAGGCGTGTCTAAGAAGTGGCTAGTCAAATTTTTAAAAAAACAGCAGCACGTAACTTCAGGAGCTCATAAGATACAGCTGGTATTGTTCAGAAGCAGCATTTTAAACATGACCCCAAAGGAATATATGAATTCCTGAGGTTTTCACCTCTGTATTTACAGTACAGTTGTACAATTCTTTCATTGACATGTGATGTGAAGGTGAAAAAAACAAAACAATGTTTGTTTACTCCAAAGCACTAGTTCATTCACAAGTCCCACCAAATTATTTATGCACCACACTGCCAGAGGTTGTGTAACAGGGTGTGGCCTCGTGAGCGTGCCATACAGGTGGCAAATAAGACAAGGCAGATAAACGTGTCAACAGGTGATGAAAGAGTTAAGTAACATGTTCAATTTATGTTTCACTTAGAGATGGCTGTGCAAAGTCCTTGCCAGTGTAAATACACAAAACACATTTGTCAGCTTTAACTCTTTAAGAGCAAAACTGTTGTGTCCCATTTGTTATCTTTTTTATACGCCAAGATCCTTTGTAGAATTCTATAATCTACTGTATTTAGTATGGATTTTTAAATTTTAAAAAGTGTTTTGATAATAAATACATCCAACAAAAGTAAGATTTATTCCCTCTTTCCTTTTTTGTGTCCCAATTCAGAGGTCATATCTGACAGCTGTATGGCTCAAATAACCTTTTACTCTTTGGACTCTGTTGAGCTCCTCACAACAGGACCTATGGATTTATACAGGACCCTCTTTACTTTTGTTTTTGTTATAGCACATATTTTCAAACAGCCAGGTTAACAGGGGGCATTTTTATTCCCAAATAGGAACAGAAATGGGTTAATGGGACTCATGGGTGTCATGAACATGCTTGCATTCAGGACTGCATTAAGACTGTAAAAACAAACACTTTCTGTCTGTACAACATGCCTCTGTTTTCAGGCCTTTCTGTACTGATTTGATTGCCAGTGAAGAGCAGTGTTCCTTACTATAAATAACTAATGAGCATCATGGATCCAACACCAGATCATGAATTAGCCTGGTGCTTTCTTTAGAAGTGATGGCTTGCAGGATGTGTCTCTTCGTGTTTTTCCATTTGTAGTGATTACACTGTTGATCATTTAAATAATTAATTAATCCTCAGTAATGTTAAGATGCTGCCTCCAAATGTGCACAATGTCTGCGTGTAGCATATGTGTCATTGTTAACGTGTAGGCCGCAACAAAGGACAGAGTCACGCCACTAATTGAATAGGGATTACTAAGGGTTTATTATGATGATCATGATGTGTGTAAGTCCGTGTCAGTGGTGTAAAGCGGTGCATGGATGAGTTGGCAAATATGTGGCATATGATAGTTGTGCAAAAACCAAACCAAGATAATAACTAGTGCTGTGTGGTTCTGTAAATGTTGGCACTGATCTTATACCAAGTAAAGACAGGTCCAGTATTACCATACCAATAGTGGAAAAATAAATCTTTAGGCTTTTCATGTATTTTAAACTGGATTTTGTTGTGTTTTTGTAGACTTGGAATCTAAACATGTCTGTCTCTAAAGCACAGTGGGTCACCTTCTGATATTTAAATGTGCTGAAGGCTGTAAATATAATAGATGTTACAGTCATCACAAAAACATTCACGTTTTTCATAGTGCATATTGGAGGTATATTTTTTTCATTTAACACAGTTTGGTGGGCTGCATCCTCAAGTTCAAGGCTACAAACAAAGTATCCTATTGCGCTAGTATTGATCATGCATTGGTATCGGTACTATACGATATTTTGATCAGTCTGTCTCTAATAATAACCTCAAATGAAACCATGACCAAATGGGGGTGCTGTGGCATTGAGGTGGTGCAGAAATGGTCACAGGAAAAAGGCCTCAGAAGGTGTGGTTGAAATAGAAATGCAGAACACTTGCCTGGTGTCCTGCATTTCCAAAAGTCTCTTGCATCATACAGGACACTCCTGAAAAACAAAGCACACACACACTAAACCCCACAAAAAGCCTGGGGCGGTAACAGTTATGCATTGCTTCAACTGAACACAAGAATTAGGTTTGTATTATGCTTTTGTATTATGCTTTATTATGAAATTTCAGGTGCATGACGTGGGCTGCAGTGATGTAAAATCTGTAATCTTCGTTTTTAATCTTCTTACATTTTTATCAATGTAAATAAAAGCATAACACAGCCTAAAGTCGTGTTGTGTTTCTGTGCATACAAAAGTCTCTCTCCTATGCCTCTGCTCTCACTCTCAGCATTCACGCCACTTTAAGTTGAAATACTTCGGTCAGAGGACTCTTATTCGTAAGCCAATTTGGGAGCTTGGGGACACCGTAGATAATAACTTCTTAATCATTAAACGCATGCTTCAGAGAACACCAATCAAGTGCTCTGACCCAGTGAAGCTGCAGTTTTCTCTACTGCAGCCTTCATTCTTGTCTCCTGGCTTGATAAGGTTGGTCTGTGCTGTGGCATTGCGTTGATTTGAGCCTGCTCCCTCTAAGGGAGGCCATGGTGCAATAGAATGAGCCTGCTTTAGTTTATTTTACTCCATATCTGTCCTGCTGCTGCCAGTGACTGGCCTGGTCTGGTTCAGCTTGGCCTGCAACCTCTTCTAATCAGATAGCCGAGTAAGGCCAGGTGCTTTCCTGCCTCTCTGCTTTGACTGCTCAGCCAGCCCTACTGATTCACTTTATCCAGAGATAAGAGAAGGACTAGAAAGGGCCACTTACTGGTTAACTGAAAAGTTGCGGGGGAGCTACCATCTCCACCAACAAAGTCTCTGAATATTATGCTGCATTTGTGTTTCACTGCCTGCATTTGCTTTTATACATACTTTATACATCTATGTGAAAGAGTACGCACAACCAGAGGCATCTATGGCAAACATTCAGTCCTCTATTTACTGTATGATGTACCATACTTCATAGCCCTGTTTCAAAGTTCCTCTCTTTAGGTCTATTTGTCACTACTTTTATACAGTTAAAATGTTCTAGTTGTGATTTGTATCGCTTTATAATTTTTTTTCTACTATTTATATTACTTATCAAAAACTGCACCAAATTACATTAAGTGAAATAAAATTGAAGCATTATGTGTAAGACTCGTATCTAAACAGGTTTTGCAGACATTATCTCTGGTTAGAATTTTAAGATGCCAAAAATGGAGACTAAAATAATAATTACATTTTGCAGGTTTGCAATCGCTATTTTTCTTCTTATGGCACCTTATTTGTAAATATGTAAATATGACAACACAAAATTGAGCACAGCGTAAAATACTTCCTCACTGATCTGTATGAATTTATAATAACAGATAAAAGTAAAAGCTGTAGAAAGCAAATATGTAAATATGAGTGACAAACTGAAATGAATGCAGTGATGGAGATAATTACATGACACCCCCTTTGTTCTCGTTTCTTTTTTTATGTTAGGGTCTTTTCTCTTTGCCTGTGCCACTCTTGCAACCCAGATTTTACTTGTAGTACATTGCATGTATAGGGCATCTTCTTTGATGTGGACGTCATCTGCGTGGCTAACGGAATATTTAAAAAGTACTTCGAGGTGTAAAAGTAAGTATAAAAAAATATGTACATGCCAATCTTTGTGTACTTCTCTCGGGACAAAGATGCCATTATATTTCAGATGAAAGCTGCAGATTCTGTACAGAGAATTAATTTGTAAAAATCCAGATTTACACTGTCTGAACTTTACTTAATGGCCTGTACTCCACACAGTATCTCCAGTGAGATTAATTATCTTCCCTTTTGAATGAAAAGACTCAGACTTCAGCTGGTTAATTATTCCCCAGTCTGAAAGCCACAAAGCTTAGGTTACCATGGTGTTCCCCACTAGTCAAAATGAGACATCCTTTCAAACTGAAAGTTTGAATCACATGTTTACTAATCGCTTGTAAGCCAATATGTGAACATTATCTAGATGGGTGTTTTAAAGTTTCCAAGGATGTTATTCAAACTTTTTAAACGATCCATAAATATGGTGTTTTGTGTCAACAAATATTATTGTGGCTGCTATAAAAACTGAAAAATAGACAGGCAGGATGTCAGTGGCATAAATCACAAGACACTGAACTTAGAGGATGTAGTCTATTGTTTGGGTACGTTTAAGCACCACAGATTATGGTTTTTAAAAAAATCATGGTTTAGGTTGAAATATATTGAATACGCAACATCAGTCCTGTATGCTGAAAAATACAGTCAAAGGAATCCAGCAGGGCTGGACTGATAATCTGGACTACCAGGCATTTTCCCGGTTGGCTGACGCACTTCTGGGCCGATGGACCGCCCATAATAGCACTGACAGCAGCCCATTGGCTTATTTTAATTACTGAGATTTGACTGTCCAATCAAGTCTCTTAATGCAACTGGCCCCTACCCTAACTTGTAGATAGGTTTAGTGCGGAGGAAGTTGTGAAAAGGTGGAGATGAAAACCTAAGAAGCTAAAAAGGTGTCAAGTTAACCAACATGTTAGCTGCTGTTAGCCGCTGCACCATGAGCAGTAGTACCAGCAACAACTAGTAAGGCCTCACAGTCGCAGGAGGCTCCTGCTGCTAGCACCAGCTGTAGAGAAGGGAGGAAGATGAAATTAACGTAAGAAAATAGCTGCAGGGCCGTAATTCGGAAGAGAGAATGATTCAAGGACATTCAGGTAAAATGAAAGCCATTGCTAATAGTTAAAGTGTTGCTTTTAATTGTTGTCACATGTTGCATTGCAGCTAAGAATAACCCACAACAACTGTACCAACCTGATTAAAACCTAATTCAATATCTATAATCAAACAAAAATGAAATCTGTACATAATTTCTTTCTTTGTTGTTTTTAATCATGATGGGCCGCCTGGGCAAAAATGCCAGAGCCCTAGTACCTGGTGTGCTAAAATGTATCCATGTGCACTAGTATGAGAGTAAGACTAGTCTCACAATTAAGACAAAAGAAAATACAAAAAATTAATTGCACACTGTGGTATTCCAACTTTGCACCACAAAAAAAGCAAACCCACCATCCCTTTTTAAAGAGCAGGTGTGCAACCTGTTGATTTTTCCTTTCTCTTTTGCTTGTTTTTAGCCCAGCACAGCCCCTCTTGCAGTGTGTATCATAACTAGCAGTCGAGAACTCCTGGTTTACATTTATTTAACCACAATTGTAATAAATAAGGTGTCTACAAAGTTCCTTTGTTGTCTTTTTTCATATTATAGATACTGCTTCACTTTCGTCACCATGGTAAATAATAGTGCATCTCGACCATGTTACAAAGATGGGACTGATACCTAAAAACATGCTATCTCTGTCATACCATCCACTGATAAATTCACAGCTTTCAACTCAAAGGTCGATTAAATACTGTTAAACTGAGCTAAATTGACATAATGGCCATAAAGCATGCTGGCAGGGTGCCATGCTTTCACAGAGTCACTTTTTGCCAATGATAATTTATTTTATTACAGGAAGATAAAATAAATGTCAGTAACAGAACCAGTTGCCCACCACTCTGGCCATTAAACAGGACTCCCTTTAATAGCTGGTAGGTCTGTGGTTGACCATCAGTAGACTTAATAAATGAAAATCACTGCATGGAGTATTATACATTTCTGCCCTGCAGACCAGTAATACAGCAGGAGTACAGGAAGTATTGGCCATTGTAGCCGGTCACATTTAACAAACATATGTCCATACGTTTTTGGACAATGAAATTTTTGCCTCTGCACTACCAAAAAGGTTTTTAAATTAAAAAAGATTTAACTGAAGTTCAGACTTTAAGGTTTAATTCAAAGTGTTGCATTAACTATTTAGGAATTAAAACTATTATTAGACATAAAAATGTCTTCAGAGACTCAAAAGGAAATATAATTATTGTTTTTAATACTTGAGACACAAATTGCCTTTGGGGTTGTGTCGGGAATGGCGCCCAGCATAAAAATCTGCCACACCAAACATGCGGAACTGCCCACTGTGGTGATCCCCCAGGACAAGAGAGCAGCACAAAGTAGCTTTTTTCAAAAAACAAAAATATTTGAGTGAAAATCCCTTGCAGTCAATGACTGAACCCATGAGCATCCCCATATGTTGTGCTTCCTCCTTTACAATGCTCTGCCAGACCTTTACTGCAGCCGCCTTCATTTGCTTGCTCGATTGTGGGTTTCTCTGCATTTCGTTTTGTATTTAATAACTGAAAAGTTGCTCTATTGGGTTGAAACTGGGAGGCTAACCGGGCCATTGAAGAATATCCCAGTCAATCAGACAATATTTTTTACAGTCAGAGTAAAAATATTGTAAAGACACATCAGACCACATCAGTGTTTTTAGTTCTCATCGTAAAGTGCACAACAACATCACATGATATCAAACATTTCACCAGACAGTTCCTCCAATTGCTGTAGTCACATATAACATACAGCACGTCTATGCTTTTTTACTTCCTGTTTTGCTCTCTCGAACGCGTCACATCTGCAAATTCTGCTCATACAGTCATCACAAACTGTTTTTGTCCCATCATTCAGTCCCATCAAAGTTTAAAGACCAAAGGCTATTTTCAGCTGTCTGACTTTGATCCACAACTAAGAGAATGAGCCAAATGATTTGGCTTCTTAACACTTCTTTCCAGTATGTATGTCTTACAATAAATTACTTTTTTACTGTTTCTTTTAAAGCCTTATGTAGTCTCCTAGCTACATCTCTGATGTCTTGGTACAGTATGTGCCAGTACATACTGTGAGATCCTCAGGCAGATGTCTTTTGTCTGTTCCAGGGTCGCAGCTGCAAACCCCCCTTGGCTCTGGAACAATCTGCCAGATCGGTGAGTCAGTATCATCTTTTAAGTCTGATTTTAAAACATACTTTTATTTATGAAAGAACCTCCTGCTTTTACTTAAGCTTTCTTTATTTTCTTTAGGAATTTCTGTAACTTTTCTTATCAAATCATTTTTTGTGTACTTATAACGTTTG